CTCTTTTCATGACAAAAACAACCTATTTTCATGAAATTTCAAATGGGATGTTTGTTAGCGACTCGGCAAGTGCACCGGTCGTAAAGTAATAAAATGTACTGAGTACGAGATCGTTCCCACGAGGATCAGAATCTCAAGCACTAGTTCGCTAATTGCGTTTTAGTTGGACAATCAAAGGTTTGGTTTGAGGGAATTTAGATGAAAAGAGTTGTGGTTCAAAGAACTTAAAATTAAAAACAAGTAAAAGCATGTAATATGAAAATTCAGAATTAAAAGGATGAATGAAGATGATGCTTGATTAAGATTTAAAACAAGCGTAGTTAAGGTTTCGATTTCCCCCAATATCCTCAATATGTTATGAATTAAATGACCAAGAATCCGTTTCTTAATATATTGCCAATCAATTCTACCTGAGTTAATTACGGCTCAATTCCTTGTTACCATAAATCTATGTAATCTTGAAAGAACTCTAGTTCCCCGATTATTCTCCAAGAAAACATGCATTAAGATCAAGAATTACAAGATTGCATAATTACCCTATGTCTATTCCTATTCCTATTCCTAGATCACAAGGATTATGATAAATTATCAAGTCAAGGTTCATGCACCAACATCCCTATTGCCATACAATTCCCCAAAATCATTCTATAAGGAACAAACTCATAGAAAGCATTAAAGACAGATAATTTATTCAGTTATAAAAAGAACAGGATTCAGAGACAATTTAATTCATAAACATAAAGATTCAATTGGGTTCCATCCACCCTTAACTACATAAAAAACTACTCTAGCATACTGAACTGAAAAGAAATAATAAAGAAAAGAGAACCCCAAGCCTCCATTGGTGTGATGTTGACTTGGTTCCTCAGTGTTCCAGCGCTCCGCAACAGGATTCCTCCTTTAAGCTCTTTGATTTGTGTACTGGTTTCTGAATTGGTGAATGAGTCTTGACCCCAAGCTCTTTATTTATAGCTTTTTGGGGTTTTATTCTTCATTAAATCTCCAATGAATCTATATCAGATTTGTGGTTAATTTCTGTTAGTATATGGATGTCCTAGAGACAATCTTTTGATTAGATTAGGACATAAGTGGACCTTTGTATTGTCGCAAATAAATAAAAGCATTCTTTATCCTGTTTCATATTTTGTCCTGATATTACTGTTAATATTATATATGAGTAACTGGATAAACCCCTTGGAATAAAATAGGTATCTCTTGAGTATCTGTGATGAGATCACGATCATGAGGATTCAAGGATACTGGATGTTTATTCCTAATTTTATGTTCCTAGTCTAGAGACACTGAGAATGAGGATCAGTGATCTCGGGTAAGACTAGCACGACTTATCTACTTGTATTTGGATGCAAGGTAAAGACCTCATGAGCTACAGATATGGAGATGTCTTAGCTAAAGTCGTGGGTGGACCTATAAGGGCATAGCTCGCACTGAATAGACCCACAAAGAGACTCTATGAGGAAATCTCACAGAGAGTAGTCTCTTTATATTTGGGTATGTCTTTCCTTAGACCAGAAGTTATTGCACAGAAGGTATTGGGCCTAATAATGGTTGTTAGCCCAAGAAGAAGTTTGGAAGCCCACCAAAAGGGAAAAAAGGGCGCATGATTTGTTAATGGGCTTGGATGGTCCAAGACATTACTAATTAATTTAAATAGTTAAATTAATTATCAAATGTTTAAATTTTGAATTTTGAATTTGAAATTTGAAATTTGAATTTGAATTTTGAAATTCGAATTTTGAATTTGAATTTGAATTTGAAATTTGAAATTTGAAATTTTGAATTTTGAATTTTGAATTTTGAATTTGAATTTAAAATTTGAATTTGAATTTAAAATTTAAATATTTGAACGTTTGAATTCAAATGTTTGAATTCGAATTTGAATTGGCTATGAAAAGTTGTTTCATAACAAAAGGATAAGATAAGATCTTGTTGGAACAAATCCCAAATATCAAGAGGAGATCTTTGAGAATCTTCTAGTGAGGATATGGGGCGCTGATTTTGGCATCTGATGATGGTCATAGGATCAACCAAATGAGCTCCAATCAGATTTGATTTGTTGAGAGAATAAGTGAGACAGTTGGCTCAAGTTTGAATGCATCTGCTCAACGTATCTGGACTGTTATGAGGCCAAGTGGGGCGCACCATATGGCTGGCCATATGATGGTTGTTGAGTCAGATTCTTGTTGAGATATTCACTTGATATCATGAGGATGTGAGAGGAGGTTGTTGACAAGATTTGAATTTTGCAACAACTCTACTCATCCCCCTAATGTGCGCTACATAGGGCTTTATTTAAGTGAAGGAAATCTGATTTTAATGATATTATTCTCTCATCTCCTTGTGGGTTCCTTTTGTCATGTTTTTCTTAAGAGAGTTTTGAAATAACCTAGCCTTTTTCAAAGTAAAACCATGTGCCACTTTTGTGTCTATTCTTGCTGAATATTCACTCTTCTAAACACCTTGACCTAGCCTCCTCCTTCAAACATTGGGCGCATAGCTTGCCTCCATTGGTGTTTTCGTTGGTGGCCTTGAAGAAGAGTTCTTCCGTATTGACAAAGGGTGGTGTGGATCAACATTAGAGGGCTTGCATCTTCAAGCCCCATCTTGATCATCCTCAAGTTTTGGAAAGCAAACAAGGTAACATCAATGCCCTAAAGCATGTTTCTTGATATGGTATGTGTTATTCCGCTCGAAAAATTTTGTTTTTCCCTCTCACATGCCTCGACCTTTAAGGTCAGTTTCTTTCAATTTCATATTTGTTTCCTTTTTGCATTTGATATCTTGGAGATTGGTTGATGATTTTGAGCTTTTAAATCTTGTTGTGATCTTCCATCACATCTTCTTATTTGAGTTATATCATATCTCAATCAAGGTTGATGTGTTTCTTCCTTGTATCTTATAGAATCCTGCTGCATATCTTGATCAAATCTTTTCCTGGAGTTGTTTTGACCGCGTATGGACGTTTTAGCGTGCTGCTTGCGCGCTAAAACGTGCTTGATGTGTATTGCTGTCTGCCTTTGGGCATTTTGGCGTGCTGTTGCACGCTAAAACGTGCTCTTCGAAGGGAAATTGATGTTTTAAGGGCGTTTTAGCGCTCTGTTGGGCGCTAAAATGCTCTCCTCCAGTGGATTTTGGTGTTTTCTTCATCTTGAGCGTTCAAACATGATTCATAGATGCCAAAATGTCCTCTTACAGCTGGTACATACTTGAAATCTTGCTTCCTTGAGGCTCCAACTCAACTTGATGTCTTCTTTTGTTTCCAAAGAGCCATAATAAGTGTCATAAATCCCTTAAAATAAGAATTATGATAACTTGTTAGCAAGATATTCAATTATTGTGACTTTACAATATAAAACCCTAATTCCCATGCAATTTATGATATATATCAAACATAATTAAGCCTACAAACATGGTAAACTAAGAGTTTATCAACCATTCCCAGATTTGAACATTGTTTTCCTCAGCAATGCACTAGAATAAACTTAGTGGAATCAATCAAGATTTTTAATTGCACGGAATTCATAAGCAGGATTTAATCAGAGAAATGACTACAGAGCATTCAGACTTAAGAAAGGGATGATACATCAAAGCATTAAGATCAATAATCCATCAGTAGAAACTTTTAATGAAATTCCTTAAGATCAAGAACAGGGGAAACTTCTTGAGACACTCCCTCACTAGGTTTACAATTCACTCATGCTCGACTGTTTAGAGGGTTGGTGTTTCACTCATGTCCCACTGAATCAGACTACCATAGGCTTGCTCATATTCTAGCTCTCCACAATAATAGTAAAGTATTCAACAGATCAAGAGGTTTTTATTCAGGTTGTAACTTGGCCTGGCTGAAGGGGAAGGAAAATTTGGAGAAAGGGCTCTGAGATTAAAATCCAGATTTTGAAGAGGAATGGATGTAATTGTTTCCAATTTGTCAACAACTTTCTTTTTCTTGTCGTTCGTTCTTCTTCACTTCTTTTTTTCTTGGACTTTTTCTCTTATTTTTCCTTCTCTTTTCTCAGACTACTCTTCTTTCTTTTTGTTTCACTTTTTTTTCTTTTTCGCTTTCTTTTCGAGTAGTTTTCTTTCTCTTTGTTTGTTTCTTCTTCCTTCCAACCAACCTTACTTGGATTTTGCCTTTCTTCCCTATACTTCCACACATCATTATTCATATATTCAATCAATGAGCACTTGTCCTAAATCTGAAATTCAATCTCAATTAAGGTGAGGAGTGTATGGATAATGGCTTATTCAATTCATAGGTTTTCAAAGAATAAACATGCCTAGGCTCAAAGTGGTTAACTAAAGGAATAACAGTAATGGTTGGCTATTTGGCCATCTAGTATAAAGAAAGAACATGCCTCAATCATATCTATAGAACAAATCACATACTAATTCAAGCCAGAAACAAAGCAAGTTCTAGAGTCTTTCATCAGTAGAATGCACACTCAATAAAAAATTTCTCTATAGGCTCGAAACCTTACGGCTATGAATGCACAATAATTATCCTGTTCTTTTTCTCAAAACAACTTCAATATAAAACAATATATTAGATGAACCATGTCACTCATTTGCAATGATGCTCATAAAAAAATTATATAAGTGCATCATTATGCTCTAAATCAATTACTAATTTCAATTTCCCGCCATTTTTCCAATTAACACTGAGAAACTTTAAAAAATATCAGAATTTTCACAAAAAAAATTGGCTTGGGGTTTTTCAACAAAAAAAATTAAAATTATCTAATTAAACATGAAAAATAAAATTTAAAATGCAAGAAAACAAATAAATAAGCTAAAGCAAAGGAGAAGGGATTTGAGATAGTTCCCTGTTTTAGCCGGATATTCTGTGTATGCTCATGAAGTTCCTCCGGCTTACTAAATTGTGCTTAGATGAACCACGCGCGTTCCCCATTCCCAGATTTAAATGTTGCTGTCCTCAGCAACAGATTTAAATCTATAAAGAAATCACGTGAGAAATAAAACAACTAGTTGCTTTCTCTTGTTGTTTGTTCCCTTTTCTTCACCTGTAAAATTCACTCAATGACAGACATTAGTCTCAACACCTTCTCCTATCTTTTTGTATTTTTCAAAGTAAAAATAACAAAAATAGTGAAATTAAAGTAAAACAGTAAAGTGTGGGTTTGCCTACCCATTAGCGCTTGTTTTACGTCACGAGCCTGACGTACCTGACTTATGATCACGGTGGTTCAAAGCATGATCTTGGTGATGACCAAGCTCCATCATTTAGAAATTGTGTCCTACCGTAGTGTTCTTCTGCATATGGATGAGGTAAAGTAGTCTCAGGAACTTTGAACTTGACTTTTACATGCTTTCCTTTGCTCCTCGGCTTTTCCATCTTAACTTTTGGCTTACTTTCTTGAGAAGACTCCTCATTGTGTTCTTCTTCTCCTTTCTTTTCACTAATAAAGTAGACTTGATCTTCTGGTTGAGCTACGGATGAGGGGACTTCTTTGTCAAAGAATTTGAAAGTTTCTTGCTCTCTGTCTACCCGTATGATTAGCTCACCTTTAAGTACATCAATCAGCGCTCCAGAAGTTGCCAAGAAGGGTCTTCCGAAGATCATTGGAATTGCGACATCTTCCTCTATATCAAGGATGACAAAATCGACAGGAATGATGAATTTGTCTACCTTAACCAATATGTCTTCAATGATGCCATAAGCTTGCTTTGAAGAGCGGTCAGCCAGTTGCACTGTCGTCTTAGTGGGCTTCACTTCAGTAATCCCCAGCTTCTTCATTATGTAGAGTGGCATGACATTGATGCTAGCTCCAAGATCACATAAAACATTGTCCACTTCCATTTTGCCTATAGTGCATGGAATGCTGAAGCTCCCTGGATCCTTGACTTTGGTAGGTAACTTCTTTTGGATGATAACATTACATTCCTTCGTCAGAATCACCGTCTCACATTCTTGCAACTTACGCTTCCTTGATAATAGATCCTTCATGAACCTTGCGTAGTTGGGCATGTTCTCTAAAGCTTCGGCAAAAGGAATGTTGATCTGCAACCTCCTGAATATGTCTAGAAACTTTGAATACTGCTGCTTCTGAATCTCTTTCTTTAATCTCTGAGGATAAGGAATTCGAGCATATGGGGAGAGATCCAATGGCTTGTTCTGTCTTTCTATAGCTTTCTTCTTCTCCCACTTGAATAGTTTCTTTTTGGCTTTTTCAGGAATGCTTTTGTCAACTTCAATTGTATCATTTTGCTTTTCTTCCTTCTTTTCTTCATCTGTTTCTTCTCCATCCTTCTTCTTTTCTTCGGGCTGCTCCTCTATATGTTGAATCACTGTACCACTCCTAGTGGTGATAGCATTGCAATGCTCCCTTGGATTGACAACTGTGTTGCTTGGAAAAGTACCCGGAGCTCTCTCAGAAAATTGCTTCGACAACTGGCCAATCTGAATTTCCAGATTTCTTATGGAAGCTTCTTGATTCTGGTGTGTTGATCTAGTCTCTTGCATGAAAGCATATGTGTCCTCTCTGAAAGCATTTGCACCTTGAATATAATCAGAAATGGTCTTGCATAGTTATGCAAAAGCTTTCTCCCACTCAGAAGTGTTACTTTGTTGTGGGGTATCTGGTTGCACTGGAAGGGGAGGATTGAGCTGATGATTGGATTTGTGACTCAACCCTGGATGTTGATTCTGATTCTTCTGATCATACCAGAGTGTATTGACCTCTGCTAGTGGCTTTTCAGTTGTTCTCATGTAGTCACAATCTTCAGTTGCATGAGCTTCTGCACAAATACCACATTTAATATTAGAATTAGTAACAGAAGAAACTTGAGAAAGATTAAATTTTTTTGTAAGAGCATCTAATTGTTCTTGTTGTATCTTGTGCATTTGCAGCATTTGTTCATTTTGGGCTAAGAGCGCATCATAGCCTTCGAGCTTCATAATTCCTCCTCTTCTTGGTGCAACTGGGGCAGGGGCATTGTCAAATTCTTGAGACGCTAAAGATTCCAACAACTCTAGCGCTTCTTCTGGAGTTTTTGTTTTCAGTGATCCTCCTGTAGCAGCATTCACCAGTGTTCTTGTGTTGGATGCCATCCCTTGAAAAAAGATTCTTGCCTTCTCCCATGCTTCAATTCCATGTTGAGGACACTTCTTAAGTGATCCTTTGAATCGTTCCCAGGCCTCGTACAAAGATTTACTTTCCTTTTGTTCAAAAGCTGTGATCTCCGCCTTGAGTCTTGCCATTTTTGAAGCTGAGAAAAATCTAGCCAAGAATTTTCTTGCTAAGTCATCCCAATTGGTTATGCTTCCTTCAGGTAGAGACTGCAACCAATCTCTTGCTTCATACTTCAATGAGCATGGAAATAGCCTGAGCAAGATAGCCTCACGAGGAACTCCATTTACTTTCAATGTATCACAGTAAAGTAAGAAGTTATCCAGATGACTATAGGGGTTCTCTGTGCTTCCTCCCGCGAACTGTTCTTTTTGAATCAGTTGCAGCAGTGCTGGCTTCAGCTCGAAGTTGTTAGCTTCTATGGTCGGTCTAACAATACTCGCTGTCTGTGGAACTCGGGCTGGAGTCATATAATCTCCCAAGGTCCTTGGAGCGAGTTGATTGTTTTCTGCCATCGGTTCCTCCTTAAGTTCCGTTGAACTTGAGGTTTCTTTTGCTTGCCTTGCTTTCTTTGCCTTTGCGTCCTTTCTAAGTTTCCTTACGGTCTTTTCTATCTCAGGATCAAACTGCAAGATTCGCGGGTTAAGAGTACCTCGCATAAACTAAGTTTGAAAATATGTGCAGAAAAAATAGAAAAAGGCAAAAAGAAAAACAGAAAAATAAATAAAAAATAAAATAAAATAAAAAATAAAGAAAAAAAACAAAGAATGGAGAAAAATAAATATGCAGAAAATTGATGCAGAATTTTAATGCAGAAAAATATTTTTGAAGAATGTATAAAGTGCAGAAAATTAAAACGTCCAGTCTAAAACTTAATTAGTTACTTCTAATGTTGAAGAATTTAATCCCCGGCAACGGCGCCAAAAACTTGTTAGCGACTCAGCAAGTGCACCGGTCGTAAAGTAATAAAATGTACTGAGTACGAGATCGTTCCCACGAGGATCAGAATTTCAAGCACTAGTTCGCTAATTGCGTTTTAGTTGGACAATCAACGGTTTGGTTTGAGAGAATTTAGATGAAAAGAGTTGTGGTTCAAAGAACTTAAAATTAAAAACAAGTAAAAGCATGCAATATGAAAATTCAGAATTAAAAGGATGAATGAAGGTGATGTTTGATTAAGATTTAAAACAAGCGTAGTTAAATGACCAAGAATCCGTTTCTTAATATATTGCCAATCAATTCTATCTGAGTTAATTACGGCTCAATTCCTTGTTACCATAAATCTATGTAATCTTGAAAGAACTCTAGTTCCCCAATTATTCTCCAAGAAAACATGCATTAAGATTAAGAATTACAAGATTGCATAATTATCCTATGTCTATTTCTATTCCTATTCCTAGATCACAAGGATTTTGATAAATTATCAAGTCAAGGTTCATGCACCAACATCCCTATTGTCATACAATTCCCCAAAATCATTTTATCAGGAACAAACTCAAAGAAAACATTAAAGACGAATAATTTATTCAATTATAAAAAGAACAGGATTCAGAGACAATTTAATTCATAAACATAAAGATTCAATTGGGTTCCATCTACCCTTAACTACATAAAAGACTACTCTAGCATACTGAATTGAAAAGAAATAATAAAGAAAAGAGAACTCAAAGCCTCCATTGGTGTGATGTTGACTTGGTTCCTCAGTGTTCCAGCGCTCCGCAACAGTATTCCTCCTTTAAGCTATTTGATTTGTGTATTGGTTTCTGAATTGGTGAATGAGTCTTGACCCCAAGCTCTTTATTTATAGATTTTTGGGGTTGTATTCTTCATTAAATCTCCAATGAATCTATATCAGATTTGTGGTTGATTTCATCTTTATTTCCTTTTTGCATTTGATATCTTGGAGATTGGTTGATGATTTTGAGCTTTTAAATCTTGTTGTGATCTTCCATCACATCTTCTTATTGGAGTTATATCTTATCTCAATCAAGGTTGATGTGTTTCTTCCTTGTATCTTATAGAATCATGCTGCATATCTTGATCAAATCTTTTCCTGGAGTTGTTTTGACCGCGTATGAACGTTTTAGCATGCTGTTTGCGCGCTAAAATGTGCTTGATGTGTATTGTTGTCTGCCTCTTGGTGTTTTGGCGTGCTGTTGCACGCTAAAACATGCTCTTCGAAAGGAAATTGATGTTTTAAGGGCATTTTAGCGCTCTGTTGGGCACTAAAACGCTCTCCTCTACTGGATTTTGGTGTTTTCTTCATCTTGAGCGATTAAACATGATTCATGGATTCCAAAACGTCCTCTTACAGCTGGTACATACTTGAAATCTTTCTTCCTTGAGGCTCCAACTCAACTTGATGTCTTCTTTTGGTTCCAAAGAGCTATAATAGGTGTCATAAATCCCTTAAAATAAGAATTATGATAACATGTTAGCAAGATATTCAATTATTGTGACTTTACAGTATAAAACCCTAATTCCCATGCAATTTGTGATATATATCAAACATAATTAAGCCTAAAAATATGGTAAACCAAGGGTTTATCAATGTTCAAGGTATACCTATGGGGTCCTTGAACTCAGGAAAAGAATATCCTTTGATACTCTAAGAAGTTCCCCAAGCCTCTGCCTTAGTGATGCACAAAAATCACCACACAAAGGTAAGTTTTCTCCCTACAAAGCTTGGTTCTTTAAGCTCCCATGGAGGTGAAATGCACTCATACTTCGACAACCAAGGAGGCAGCCCCAACACTCAGAAAAACAGCACCTTGAGCTCACAAGAACACTCTCTCCACTCCCCAAAGCTTGCCACAAACTCACACAATGACGGAGAGGGGTTTTCAAGAAGAAAAGGTGGGAACTTTGGTACAAAAATGCAGGAAAGCTCAAGTTCTTGAAGGGAGAAGAAGGTGGCAGCCTATGCACCAGAAAATTTCACGTAGAAGAGTGAATTTCTGACCTAGGAGAGTGTGCCCTTGAGCATTTATAGTCCTCTCAAAGTTAAACGCACAGTATTAGCATTAATAGCTACGCTTATCATTTTAATCTCAAACTTGATATTCTGAACCTATCCATTTTTCTAGGATTTGTCATATTTTAATTTTAATTTTTCGCAACACTTTTCCGGTACACGCTTTTTCATAACCAGTATCAGTTCTGGCATCAATTCTCATTATTTTAACTTGAAACTTGTTTTACAAGTCCTATATATTATTCTAGTGACATATACACACTTTTCATAATTTTCTGGGATACTTCATCGGTACGCATTTATTTTGAGTAGCAGAACCAATATCTGCACTTTTCGTAAGAAAAGCGACTTTCAACATTATTACTCACTTACCGTAATTATTTAAGCCTCGTAATAATTATTAGGGTGAATTATGGAATTATTTCTTAATTTCTCATAATTAATTAATTAACTTCCTTAATTAACGGTGCGGGTACTTACACTTTCTGGGTCGATACTTCCCTTACGATGCGCAGGATAGGAATTAGGGGGAGTTCGACAGGTTGGTGCAGGGCTCGTTGTCTGTTGACGAGTACTTGGCCAAGTTTAATGAGCTGGTGAAGTTTGCACACTTTCGGATGGCGATGCCTACTCCGACCTTTTTGGCTGCTAAGTTCTGTAGGGGACTTAGCGAGGAGATAGCTGTTCCTCTTGCTGGAGCTGCTTCGAGAGACTTTGGGACACTGGTTCAGCAGTGTCGGGACATCGATGATGTCTGTTTGACTAGTAAGGGCAAGATGTCCAAGATTGTTGAGACGAAGAGAACGACTAGTTCCACTTCCTAGAAGGATAGGAAGTTTGCTGGAAAGGGCAAAGGGAAGCAATTTGTGGCTAGGCAGGCGCCTGGTCAGTTCAAGAGGACTTCTTCGCAACAGGGAGGTTTTGCTAGGCCTCTTTCCACTCCTAGGTGTTCGGGGTGCAGGAAGGAGCATGCAGGACGTTGTGCAACATGGCAGCTAATCTGTTTCCACTGTGGCAAGGAGGGCCACTACTCTAGAGATTGTCCGTCGTCAACGGCAAGAGCTGCTGCAGTTCAGGCAGTTCCATTGCAGATGGTTCCCCTTCCACCAACTTCGGCACCTGCAGTGCCACCTGCTACTGGACATGTGTATACGTTGGATCGTCAGTAGTCGGACCGAGCTCCGAACCTTGTCAGAGGTACTGTTTCCATTAGTGGAATTGCTGTTGATGCTTTGTTTAATTCTGGGGATACAAATTCTTTTATTGCAACCCCTATTGCTGTGGGGCTTGAGTTGCCCATATATGTGATTTCTCCACCATTGCGGGTGACCACCACCACCGGAGAAAGGTGTGATTCTACCACTGTTCATCGCGATGCAACATTTCAGTGGGATGGCTGTGAGTTCTCGGTAGATCTGATAAGATTGCCGATGGCCAACTTGGAGATTATTCTGGGCATGGATTGGTTGTCCAAAAATTGTGTGATGATTGACTGCAGTGGCAAGCGAGTGGTGATGTCTCCGTGTGATTCCATAGCCAGTTCCTCGCCATATATTTTATTGCTGCAGACTAGGAGAGCAGGGGCATTTGGTTATGTCATGTTGGGGGGTTTGGTGAGTGGGGCACAAGAGGATATTGTTGGCATTCCTGTGGTGGGGGAATTCCTTGAGGTTTTTCCTGATGAGATTCCTGAGTTTCTGCCACATCGGAAGATAGAGTTCTCTATTGATTTGGTGCCTGGCGTGGGACCTATTTCATTAGCTCCATACCGGATGTCGCCACTAGAGTTGGCGAAGCTGAAGAAGCACATTGAGGATCTTTCAGCGAAAGATTTCATTCGACCGAGTGTGTCTCCTTGGGGAGCACCAGTCATTTTTGTGAAGAAGAAAGACGGGACAATGCGATTGTGCACCGATTACAGGCAGTTGAACAAGGTGACGGTCAAGAACAAGTAGCCCCTTCTGCGTATTGATGATTTCCTGGATCAGCTCAGGGGTGCTTGTGTGTATTCGAAGATTGATCTCCAGTCCGAATACCATCAGATTCGGGTGAAGCCGGAGGATCTTAAGACCGCGTTTCGTTCGAGATACCATCACTTTGAGTATTTGGTGTTTCCTTTTGGACTCACAAATGCACCTGCAGTGTTCATGGATTACA